AAAACACATAAAAATGACCCTGTGCCAGTTCAGTCCTGAGAACTGGCAGCCCATGACCTCCCTCCTTCTTGGAATCTAGCTGCCATGCTAGCTAAGAGGAAGCCCAAGCAGCCGTACAAGGTGGCCACATGAAAGAGAACTGAGCTGATCCTCCAGTCTTCAGGCAACACTACTTTGCCAGTCGTGTGATTAAGTCATCTTGGAAGTGGATCTTCTTGCTCCAGACACAGACACAAGTCTTCCCCCTGAACTCTGCCCAAACTGCAAAACCATAAGCAAATAAGATTGTTATTCTGAGCTTCTAAATTTTGGAGCAGTTTGTTACACAGTCATGGATAACCAAAAACAAACAAACCCCACACACAAATCAATTACTTGATATCAGCTCTTGAAATTCTATGGAGTATTTCTAAAAAAAAGAAAAAGGGAAGCAGCAAGATGTGCATTCAAACATCTGTAGAACATCCAGTGTGTGCATGACTCTGCACCAGGTCCTGACACTGCTCCTCTTGTGTTTATGGGCTGTGGCTATGACAGATATTGAACAAGGCATTATCATGAAGGGTGATTTTCTAGCGCTAGAAGAATATAAAGAAGCATAAAGGGGTGTGGGGATGCTAGGAGATTGTCCCTTTCTAACAATTGATACTTTATAATTAATTTGATGAAGAGCAGGCACATCTTGAGGTGGCCACTTAAAGAGTCACATGAGATAGTCTATGTAGAAAACAACTTTCTTCTACATGAGTCTACTTCTTAATTAGGATATCAGTGAAGAGGTGGGTTTCAGAAGTTAACTAACACAGTAAGTGGTGAAAGCATGAAGTAGTGTCTCCATGGCCTAATTCATTAGTAGAATGATCTGACAGGAGAGACTTTGAATAAAGAGATAAAGGGAACGCATGGGAAATATGATTTCCAAGGGCAACCAATGTTTCAAAGTAAATGGTGATGAAGAATGTGGCTATTCATTGTTCAAATAATCTATAAAAGACAAAGAATCTAAGTTGATTGCTTTGGACATATTCTCTAAGAAAAAACTTTTTTCATCCCTAGAGGTTTTAATGATTGTCAAGAAAGACAAATTTTCAAAGATAAATTTGTATTTTCCTACATAAATAGGTAGTTGTCTGTCAGACAAGCAGATCAAGCAGACAGCTATGCTGCAAGGATTAGCAAATTGAAGTTTTACCCTGATATTGTTGAACCTTAAGACATCTTTCTTCCGAAGTCTGAAGTATTCTAAGAGCCAAGAGAGGTACTTGTGACAGTTAAACAAGGTTAAACTACATACTGGCCCCATAAGTTTGACCGAGATCAAAAGAACTGACTGCTCACCTAACTGACCTAAATCACATGATCACAAGGAAGATGATACCAGAGCCAGAGCCTTCCCATGACAAGCTTTGGGAGAATTTAATTCTGTTGCAATCTGTTCATTCCGCTTCTTGATCAGGGGGAGGGAGAATGAAAGTCAAACATTAAATTTTCTAAAGACTTTCAATTTGGCTAATGTTGAAGTTCTCCCTTAACTTCACATTTAAAAAAAAAAAATCCTTCAAATCTTTTATAGGGACAGATATAGTCAAGAAAAAAGAAATCACCAGTTCATCCTTCAAAAATTTTCTTTTTGCATTTCTGTTACTGCTATGAATTCATGTGCTTTCAAAAGAGTTCATACTTGACATAAGCTATTCATAGAATAAATAAAGATGTGTCTGAATGTTCATAGAGGCAATTTTACCATCTCCTGTAGTCAACTCACAAAAGGAACACATTCATGAGTGTTCCTAGTTTTCCATCTTAAAGTTTTCACGTATGCAAAACACCTCATGCCCAACACCCAGCCCTATGTCTCCTAATCGTGAATGCCTCACACCCAAATCCCTCCTGCCTCCCTTGTATCCAAGCATTCCTAGAGCACCGTAGACAAAGGCCAGTGCCTCAGTGGTTGACCCAAACTTTCTGTTCTCGCCAATGGATCTGCAAATTGCTACCAGAAATTGATTAAAGTCACTCCCCCTTGTTCAGGATGTTATGAAGTCAGTGTCAACATTATTGTCAAAGAGTCAATGACTCCAGTGGCTAGAAGACCCATGTGGAAGGAGTAAGCTCGCAAGTCAACACCAGTGAAAGGCTTCTTGTTTATGATGCCAGGATAATGGTGGGTCCTTTCAGAACTCTTCCTGCCCCTGAAATGCCTGGTGAACATCAGGCAGAATCTGACCCCACAGTGACCTCCAGACAGCATTGAGGTTCCTGGGCAATCAGAGATATGGCACTGAAAGGGCCCCTGAGGGATTTTATTAGCTCTGCTTCCAGGTGAGGAGGAGGAGTCAACCACCAAAAGAGAATCAGCAACTTTGCTTCACAAGATGTTAAAAGAAAATCAGCATTTCAGAGAAAAATTACAGTGAAAAGAATACACCAAAGACTTAATGTGAGACATACAAATGAACTGTATTTAGAACTATGGACACCAATCTATGGAGATTATAGAAATGATAAATACTAAAGCTGTTGCCCATGATAAATTGAAGATTTAAAAGGTTTACAAGTTATGAACCACACACACCCTCTTACAAATTCTACTTACACATACACTAATGTAAAATATGTTCAAAAAGTAAAAATAACTATCCTCATAGATGACTGCAACTACTCGACCTGCAGGGAAATTAAGACTGGGGGAAAGAGGCACAACTAAATAATGGAACCTAGAACTGGCTCGAAAGAAGGCAAAAAAAAAAGAATAAGCAGACACTGATGTCAAGAAAAGAAAAATCTGGAAAGGATACAGTTGGAGCAGAAACTTGCTTATTTCCCTAAGGACAAGATTATGTCCTATAATATTCAAATATTATTTTTCCACCCAATATAGAGACCACAAATCACCCTCACTGCTTTCAACTGTCCACAAACTTTATAGGGATTACTTAAGGAGTGGATACAACTAAGCGAAAAATAGAGTTTTACCACATACCTGGGTGTCAAAGCTACTCTCACCTCATCGAATGCATTCATTGATGTGCTGATAGATTAAAGTAAATCCACACCTCCTCTTTCTCCACCTGGGATTCCAGTCACCCACATCCTAAATCTGTGATTCACTTCAGGTGTTAAAGTCATGGCAGAAAGAAACATCATGAAAGGTCTGACAAAGACATTCTGCAAGAGAAATGCCTTGCAGTTTTGTTTTCTTTTTCTGTCTTTTTTTGAGTTGGAGTCTCACTCTGTCACCCTGACTGGAGTGCAATGGCTGCTCCTGGCCATCGCAGCCTCGACCTGCTGGGCTCCGGCGATCCTTCCGCCTCAGCCTTCCGAGTAGCCGGAATTACAGGTGCTCGCTACCACACCCGGCTAATTTTTTGATTTATTGTAGAGATCAGGTCTCGCCTGCCCAGGCGGGTCTCGACCCGTGGGCTCAGGCAATCCACTCACCTTAGCCTCCCAAAGGCATGGGATTGCAGGCTGAGCCACCGAGCCCGGCTCAGTTTTGCTTTCTAAATGACCTGAAGGATAGGTCAAAGGCTTCTCCTTAAACAGTCTGAGTTATGGAGCAGAGCCCCGGGTTCTAGCTATAATTTGAGACCCTTCCCTGAATATAATATTGGTAAAAGTCACTTCAGTCCTCATGCCTCCTCCCTCACCTCCCATTTTTAAATGAAGTTCTCATTCACAGCATTTCCACATTACTGGGGGATACAGCCATGGAGATTAGGAAATGCTTCCACCTCATTCAGCCAGCACCTCAAAATGCGACTCCAAACCCGAGCAGCAACAGCACAGCACCAGGACACTTAGAGCACCAGGCAGGGCCAACAGCATTGGTGGCTGGACATCAGGCACAAACCTATTTAGGTCCCACCGCCCACCCCCATCTTCTTCCCCTCTCCTCCCAGCACCAGCCCTCTCCCCTCCAGTGAGGGCTCTCTCCTTTCATTTTCCCTTCACCTTGGTAATCTAACATCAACACGGTCCGCCTTCCAGCTGCTTTTACCCTGTTCTTTCTTCCTCTTTCCTCTCGTCAGCTGTACTCAAGAAACACAGACTGCTTATGTTACTTTTGCCCCCGTAAATGGTTTCCCCACGAGGGAAACCCACAGCCACCAAGCCTTCTGCTGCAGACACCAATCACACAGACTTCCTCTTTTCGTCTGAGCATCCAGTTCAGTAGGTTTCCCATCACCACTTTGCAGGTATTCAAAGCTTTGGGGATGCGCCCGAGCCATCCCTAAAGTCAACAACAACAACAAAAAAAGGTGGCTTTGAGCATCTTACCGCTCACATATTTGCATAGTGTTTGATGTAGCTTTATTTTCAAAGCGGGTCTCAAACATTCAAGTGGATAGGTTACAGTGGGAGCCCAGGAATTGCAAATGCGCTCGCCTCAAAGACTCAGGAGTCCAGACCCGGGCAGGAAATAAAGTTCTAAGCGGCTTTGATGTGCTTCCTCTCCACACCCCTGCCTGGCGCGGGTCATTCCTCTCCAAGGCGTGAGACCACTTTGCCTGAACTTAGCCAAGCGCATCACACGTGGGAGTCAAGTGGGAGATTTAATAACCCACGCGTGTTGCTCACCATCAGCTCCACCAAATTAGTTGCCAATGGCTTCGGCTCAGCTGGGATCTCCGTGTATTTTACCCACCAGGAAAAGAAAATGGTGTATATAAGCACGGGGGAAGCGGGCGGGAAGGGACAGGGGAATCCAGACTGTGGCAAATAAAACGCCTCCACGGTTTGGTGAGAGGTTGTTCCTCTTTTCTGCCACTCGTTTCAGACTGAGATATCAAGCCAGTTCAGGTCATTTCCTGAGTAGCACTACAAGTTAAAACAAGGTCCAGAAAAATCTATTAATCTTCCACCGCACTGCCTCCAGACTGAAAGCACGAGAAGGGTGGGGTGCAAGGCTGGCAGAGATTGGGGCGGGGGGCGGGAGGGGGCTTGTGGAAAAGCAAATGGACCAGAAACCCCAGCTCCCGACCTCAGCCGATTCTTACCTCACTCAGCTCGGCCGAGGAGTCGTTTCCATATTTCATGGCAACTCCAGAATTCATGATGCACTTTTCAGAGCCGGGCTCTTCCTCCTGCAGGGCTCGGGGCTGAAGAGTTGGGCTTAGCAGGCTGGATATCCACCGCTCGCTCGCTTCCGGCACATTTTAGGCTAGACAGCCATTTTCACCCGGGACGGCTGAGCAGCCCCGACGAAGGATGCAGGCGCTCCGAGAGGAGCGGGGCCGGCGGGCGTCTCAGGGGCGAGCCATGGCAGCGGGAGGCTTGGCGGCGTGGCGTGGCGTGGCGCGCTCGCAGCTGCTGCAGCGGCCGAGCCGGCGCGGGGACCCGCCCGCGCGCACCCGCCGCCCGGGCCCGGGGCAGTGCCACCCTGGGCGCCGCCTCGCCGCTCCTACGGGGCCTCGCCGCCCCCCATCACCGGGCCGGAGGGCACCTCCCGGCACGAGCCGGCGCTCCTAGAGGGCACCGGCGAGCTCCCGAATGCAAAACTAGGGCGCTGGGCGCGGGAGGTCCGCGGCGCCGGCTCCGGGGAAGGAGAGCAGGCTGGGGCGAGCCGGAGCGGAGCTGCACTTCACGCCGAAGTTTCCCCTCGGAATCGTCTGGAGTTGTAAGTGGTTTCTGATTGAACACAGCTGTCTAGCTGCGGGCCACGGGGTGCGCGGAGGAGGCGGGGCCGGGAGGAGAGAAGGGTGGGGGCGAGCAGGCCGAGCAGAGGAGAGCGTGCTGGGGGAGCAGGCATCCTTCCAGTTCTCTGCAATAGTAATTAAGGACCCAAGTCCAGGAGGGGGAGAAGAAACAGGAAAAGCCACCTGAGTAATCGTGCAGGAAATTAAAAAAAAAAAAAAAAAAAAAAAAAGAACTTCCCTCCTAGGAGCCACTTTCCATGATTTAATAAGGTCAAGACAAATCTAAACACTGTACATCAGGCAGCGCTGTGCACTTCTCACGGTACATTAAGATTTTACAAGAGTGTGGGGCGGTCATTTTCCCTGATCTGTCTAAAGTCAACACTAAGGGTGTAAATTCACTGTCAAACTCCCTCTTTCTGTCGCTGGGCAGAGTACATTTTCGGCATGCGCATAATGAGTATAAATATGCCCCCATCCCTTGAAAAATGTAACATAGGCTCACACTTCCGTTCTGTCCAACCCTCAGACCTTCCTTAAAAACTTAACGTTCATCTGAGTGGGGCTAGATTTGGATATACGGAGTTTGAGGTATGAGTCAGAAAAGATTCAAGAGGGCTGTGCCATCCAGTCTACCCCTGGGATCAGAGCTCCCTTTCTTCAGCTTTGAGTTCACCTTAGGTAAAACATACCGAGCCTATCCGGGAGAGGGTCAGGTGGGGGAGAGGAGAAGAGGGACTGGGATTTTCCCTCTGTAAAAATCCCACTGAACTTGAGACACACCGAAAAATGTCCCGATCCTTTAAAACGGTAGGTCTGCAGGATTGCCTAAAAGACTTCATCAGTGTCTTTTTACACAATGAAAACAAAATGTCTCCAGCCCCAGTGACAGACCTTGGCATTTCCTGAAGTCGTCTATGAAAAAGCCATTGTATTGTTAACTTCCAGGTTTTTTTTCCTTTTTAATCAGATAGGATGTTTATTTTGCTCTTTAAGAAGGAGCAAAGAGTACAACCATTTGCCTCTATCTTTTCACCCATCCCCCTTCCCATTTAGTTCATTCATTGCCTGATAGAGGTGTTGCTGGGATTAGGAAGCGTTTGTTGCTTTTTCTGAAGCACTGGGTCCCAAGTTCTTGGGCACTGCCAGACTAGAGCATATTCTGCATTGAAAGCAGTTGGGATGCTGTCCTTCAAAAGAGGACTGGATTTTAAAAATGTGGTACGTATACACGATGGAATACTACGCAGCCATAAAAAAGAACAAGATCACGAATTTCGCAGCAACCTGGATGGAACTAGAGTCTATAATACGAGTGACCTCTCAGAGAAACAAAGATCTGAGTATCACATATTCTCACTCATATAGTGGACCTTGATCATCCAACATAATACTATAAGAAAAGGCCTGACAGTGGTGGGAAACCATGGGGGTGGGAGGGGAAGGGA